GATGCGGTTGGGTCGCCATCTTTGCGACAATACGCTGGTAAAAATTATCCTTGTTGTATAGATAACTTTCTAACACGAATAACTACGATGAGAAATAACCCTTGAAATCACCAAATGGATATCTTTTCACAGGGAGTCCCACAGTTGGTTCTCTAGTGGATAAGAGCGCTGTTTGCCACCACATACGATGAACGTTAAAAGTCCTCAGCACTACACATCTGGATGAGTTGCCAAGTCTGCTTTCCCTCGCCATACGTGTACGCACGGGACACACACATGAAGAAGAGCACACTCTCTGCACTGATCTAGCTGGCGGAGTTCCACCACGTTACGAATGTAGGTGATGTCTTTTCTTCGCACGTGATGAGAAGCTCTGAGAGATCACAGTTTCCGCCAAGCAAGTGAACGGGAAAAGCCCCTATAAAGCACGCAGAGTGAACGAGAGAAGGCGGTCTATCGATTTCGACTCATGTTTCCAACACACTTCGCAACTTGACATCCCAAATCTCACCTGGCTCCCTGGATCAGCCGGTCGTTTTAATATGGGTGGTGGGCTATTTGTGTGGGAATCTCGAATTCAACGTTTTCCTCACTCCTTCAAAACCTCTCCTGACCCAGTCTTCTTTTATCTTGAACTAAAGCTGAATGAATGGAGAAAATCGTTCTTATCCATTCTTTATGTAATACCTTTATTGTGTCATTATGTTTTTAATTTGGCAGCAATAATTATTTTTATTATTATTTTTAAAATCTATATTGTACTTCTCTTCATTTCTTTGATTAAAACATTTAAAAAAATGTAATATTAATAGCAGCTGCTTGGCATATCCAGCTAGCGTGAGTTTAAATTATCGACGCCCTCCCCAACCCCAATCCCAAAACAAACCAACCCAATAATGTTCGTTGTGAGAGAGAGAGAGAGAGAGAGAGAGAAGAGAGAGAGAGAGAGAAAAAAAGACCAAAAAGAGAGAGAGGGGGGGGGGGGGAGGGAGAGAGAGAGAGAGAAAAAAAAGACAAAAGAAAGAGAGAGGGGGAGAGAGAGAGAGAGAGGAATAAGAAAAGAGAGATATGGTGGACTTCTGTCTGTCTCTCTCTCTCTCTCTCTTCTCTCTCTCTCTTTCTCTTCACTCTCTTAGTCAGGGAGAGAGAAGAGATACACAGAGACGGAGATCGATTTAATTTCAGAGTCTTCACAAAAGGGTGTACCGTGATTGGCCTCCATCCTTTATTTTATGCAACATGTACACTGACATTAGTCCATTGACAAATATAATCTGCGAGCTAGCAAAGAGATTAAAACAAAATGACTTGGTAGAAAATGTTTTATTCCTGCTTTTTCCATTTTCATGCAATAGTGTTATTGATCTCTTGATTAACAAATCAAAATGCTTTTCTAAGCTTAAAAGGGAATCTGGGGTTGGTTCTCCTTCCCATCTGAAAGTAAGAAACGAGAAGAGTGGTTGGACATGACTTCATCACTTCTCAAAATTGTGGATCGAAAACTGAAAACATAGTCACGCCCCTCCCGCATTCCCCTTCATCACCATACTTCAACTGGACTACCACCACCAGCATCAATACCACCACCACCACCGACACCAACACCACCACCACCAACAACAACAACAACAATAACATCAACACTGCCAACACCACCACCACCTCCATCATCACACCACCCAGGCGCGTACGCAGGGGGGGGGGGGGGGGGGTGTTTAGGGGTTAAACCCCCCTTTGGTATTTTTATGTGTTTAAACCCCCTAAAAAATCCCTAAAACCCCCCCCCCCCCTTTGGATTTTTTTTTTTTTTTTTTTTTTTTAAATTATTAAAAAAAAAAATTACCCCCATGGCTGAACTGAGAAAGGTGACCTTACCCCCCCCCCCCCAACGGAGCAAAATGTCAAATTTTCAAATTTCGAGACCCCCCCCCCCAAAAAAAAAGTGTCCTCTTACCCCCCCCCCCCCCCCCCCCCCCCCCCCCCCCCCCCCCCCCCCCCCACTGAGCGACTTTTTGGCCGGCGCGATTTTCAAATTTTCCTGAGTCGTTGCGAAATTTTGGACCCGATTTTAAACCCCCCCCCCCCCCCCCCCCTTGAAAAATCCTGCGTACGCCACTGACACCACCACTATCACCACCAACAACATCAACACCAAAACTATTACCACCAACACTGCCAACATCAACACCAACACCATCACTACCACTAACACACAAACTAATTTAAGAAATATTGTAACTATTCATATAGAACTCTTTCAGCAATCACAATTATTAAAAACATGTGGTGGCGCTCTTCAAAATATAAAAATTAAGTAATCTTAAACGTGCTTTGCATGATAATTGCCTCAAAAAACGAACTCTTCGATGTCATAATAGTATCGTGTTAAAAGAGAGTTTTGAAGATTAAGTGAATAAAACGACGAAGGGGGAAGGGGGGGGGGGGGTAATATGTTTTCTTTCTTTCCTGTTTGTTATGCATGTAATAATTGGATTACTGAGTGTAATGCCGACTAATTTGGCCCGATTATGCATGGGCTGCTTGGCAAAGGTATACGGGCAACACTTCGTTATAGGGCTGAATTTTCTTGCCCGCATCTTAACTTCCTAGTTTCTAAATTGTAGGAGCGAGCGAAGCGAACACATAAAGAATTGGACAATATTACAATGACATCACATAATATACAAGATAATACATCAAAAAGGGTATTGCTCGAATATGAATTGACAGCTGCCCGACCCGAATATAATGTGGCGACTATTATTAATGATATCAAAGTTCTAGGATGAGCTGCAACCCTTACCCCTTTCATTAATTAATGACAAGACAAGGGCTATAGTACGTCTCGCAAATCTGAGATTCTCCTCATTATAATGTGATTTATACTGTTATTTATCATTAGAGATTAATATCATTACACCAAAAAGTTGGAATTCATTAAATGATTGGGACAAAAGGACTTATTCTCGATAGATAATATTTCTCAAAACTTTATGGATCAATCTTTATTGAACACCTCTGTATTGATCAATTATTATGGATAAATGAAGTTTTGAGAAGATTTAAACTTTATTTATCAATGATGAATTATGATTGTCACAATCATCACATGAACAGAACTATTTTATTGCAACGTTTATTGGTAACAATTTTTATTCATCTCGGGAACCAGCATAAATCCAAATCGCGACCTTATTTCTCTGTTAAAAAAAGCGTGAACGTTTTCATGAGAAATTACTTGTAAAATGTTTTACATTAAATGCATCACGATCATAATCATATGTAAATATGCAAAAGTGGACCAGTGACATATTTAATAGACATTATCTTTAAACCAATAGAAGGGAATACAACATTATAACTCTGTATTTTAGGCTTTTCAGTGTGATTTAGGATTAACATTCTCTCTCCGTCTTTTAAAATACCTCTTATGTATTCATCTCTCTTGCGTATTATACCCCCCCCCCTTTCTCTCTCTCTCTATCATCCCCCCTTCTCTCTCTCTCTCTATATATTATCTCCCTTCCCTATCTCTGTCTACGATTCTGACCCCTCCTCCAGTCTCTCTTTCTCTTACCCCCTCTCCTTTCTGTACAATCTTCCTCTCCCTCTCTCTCTCTCTCATTTCTCTGTCTCGCATGTTTGTCTCTTTCTCTTCTATTTTCAGTTCTTCGGATGAAAGAGTCGGCTTCGAAGCCGTGGTGTATCGGAGGAAGAACCCAGCGAGGAAGGGGCTGTTGCGGTGGCCACTGGTATTTATAAGGGAGTAAAGACTGAGAACACAAAACTGTAATTTCAGTCGGAAGTATCATTATGATACTATGATAGTCGAGAAAGAGTAAGGAAATAGTATTGGCGTAGCCATGGGGGAAGGGGGCTCGCCTAATACAGGATCTAAGGTTATAGTTTTGTTTTATCTTCATTTAATACAGAGCCCCCACCCTGCTTCCCGTGGCTACACCAGACACATTTCCCCTCTCTTTCTCGACTATGACTGAAATTAAAGATTTGTTTTCTCTTCATTTTATAACGATCACCCAACAACAAAACAATAACATAATAATAAAGAAAAACACCACTCTGTAAAAAAATAAATAAAGACCATTCCATTTTATTCAATTTATTTTCGATATATTCAAGTTGGCAACTATTATCTTCCGTCTCAGCGTACATAATTTTTTTTCTTCCAGTAAACATTAACACAAAGAAAACGTATGTATATATATTTTTCAGTGGCAGAAATGGGCTTTCGTAAATATTAGTTGAGTAAGATACAACATATTTATATAGAGAGAGAAAAAAAAAGGGAAAAGGTACATCAATTGTATTCCATTGTGAATCTCCCCTCCCCATCTCTCGTTGTAACTGCCTCCTTTTTTCTTTCTTTTCCCTCACTTCCTCCTTTCTCGCCCCTCTCTACTTATCACCCTATCCTTCCCCACTCCATCTTCTATTTCTCTCCTCCTCTCATCTCACTTCGGCTTCCTTTCTTTTACTCTTTCTCACTCCTTCTTCCTCTCTCTTGCTCTTGCTTAGTATATTGTGATGTAGTATACACATCTACAGTGCATTCTTCAGAAAAGCTTGCGAGTTTCAACTTTCAAAGGTGTTGGTCATGATTTTGCCGTCTGGGGGTGTTTCACAATGATCCTAAGTCAAACTTATCTCTAAGTTGGACTTACAAATTATGGAAAGCCGTTAGCATATCAAGATTTTTTGTAAAAGTTATTTTAAAAGGCATAAAATGTTAATTCAAATCACTCATATTTTCTATTATCAAGGAGATTTCATGTTCTCGATGTTGAATTGATAAAAGTCTAAAATACTTGAATTCTCGCTTTTGAAAATATTTTATTTTAAGGCTACCAACTTAGAGGTAAGTTCGACTTATGATCTTTGTGAAACACCCCCGTGGAATCATAAACATGGACCTAAACAATCAGTGGGGAATACAATGCTTTAAGAAAGTTACAAAAGTATTGATAATCGAAAGCGCTTCAATTTTATCACAATTTTATTACAATTTCATTTCACTATGATCTGCATCATTAAAAGCTAGAGCAACATTGGATTACACATGATGATAAGAAGAGTTGCGATGAAAGCTTTGGGTATCAAACAACATAGATCTGAGTCACTGATTGAGATGTACAAAAATAGAGAGCAAATGCACTTAAAGTCTATTGGTGATTGATAAATGTAAAAAGCCTACTACAGGAAATAGTCTCTAGGTAAAAATATGATATATTTATGTACAGGTACAAACATGATGTATTTGTATTTTGTAGCCTACATTACGTATAACATATCAAATACCACACACATTACTTGTAGAAAACTACACATTTAAATAACATGAATTTTAATGCTTAAATTGTAAACCAAAACTGCATTACTTCAATTGCAATCACGCGATGTTGATTTACTCAAACTGACTGCCAAGAAAGCAATTACAGTATACATGCTTGTAAGTAAGCAACTATGGAGGAAGATTAGTGCCTTAATTAAAAGGGCACCAGCACATCGACTTGGTTTGCAGAGGATTATCATTAGGTGTTGCTAATTCAAAGCTAGTAATGCTTATATACATGCAAGTCCCTTCAAAATGGTTACCTACATGTAACAAGCCTTACCCTGTACATGTACTACAACACAACACAGATTGAAATAGTGCAATTATTTTGGCTTGCTTTACTAGTGCTTCTATAATTTATAGCAATTTATATCAAACCTGCATTAGATAATATTGCATACTGAGTTTTTATAAATAAATAACAAAATATTTAGAATATTAAAAGATGCATAGGGACAACATATTTGCAGTATGTTACAAGCAACTTTGTCAACAGTTTGCATGTCATTGTCAATAAGTTACTTTCAATGCTCATGTATAAATATTCAGCTTTTGCACAGCATATCGAATATGAAACAATGCTTCAATACCCTTGCATAATTATATTGTTTTGTAATATGCAGCCAGCTATTTTGACTCACAGGATAACAGGTATTCAGCCTCATGTGACAGATTTATATCAGGGGAGATAGTGAGTTAAACAAAAAAGGTTTTAGATTCGAGCGCATGCGCGAGGCTTTCAAGCAAGTCATGAAAAAAATGGCACCTTACCCACCCCCCTATTTTTAAACTGGATTTACATCACTGTCTTTCCATTTTTGGAGATAAAAAAATCAGGAAACCGATTTAAATTAGGAAATTATCAGGCTTGATTTATATGAACCGATATACAACTCATTAGCAAACGTACACCACACTGATATTGGGTGCATATCAAAATGACTCTCTAACTTGCCTTACACTGTATACACTGGTCTCCAAAACACTTTCCTTAACATCAATTCAATTGCCTCAAAGTTTTGTTTTGCATACTACATGTACATGTAATGTACATGATGACGAGCCGATCTAGGACCCCTTCACAGTTGAACTTTATGTATAAAAATCAAGGTACCGGTTGTCCAATCACAGGGAAAATTTACATTATTGATTGCTGAGTGACACTACAATAATATAAAACAGTCATAATTTATTAAGAACATTGTGATATTTACAAGTATGTGCATTAGCTTACTGACCAATGATAGGTTAGGTAATACGGTAGGTATAAATATATTTGTCAAATATTCAACTCAAGATCAACTCCTAGTCTACACTTGTATAACTTTTATAAAACAGTGAGTACATTCTGTTTCAAACCGACAATGGGGACTTACAAGAAGGAACTACAGTAACTTCAGCAAAAATGTTAGTCACACAAGTCAAATTTTCAGTATTGAATCATTATTAAAAAAAAGAAAATCTTCACTATGCAAAAGTTTTTATTTACACTTCCTAAGTAAAAATGTGTATACAGTATGTAAAATTATTTTTGTGTGGTCACAACAGACTTGAATTAAACAGAGTTAACTGCATACATTGTATGCCTTGCTCAAAATTGATACAGGAGTCCTCTTCACGAACATGACATTGCTGACAAGTTTTGCTTGAAATTTTGAGAACATTTGTACAAAGAAGCACCAATTGCTCTTTTCCTCTATTCAATTCTCTAAAGCAAAACAAAGAAAAGAGAACAACATGAAATGGTACTATACTTTCATAAAAACTTAAACTTGAGGTTAGATTAGTGCCAAACTAATTTTACCTTGAGTAAATCATTTGTAACCCCTTACACTGACTGTACAATGGAGCCTGAGCATCATCCCTGGCATCACAGGGATGGGAAAGAAGATTGACATGTCCAAAGATTTAAGCACAACATTGGTGATATACTGATACAGTGATAGTACAGACTCAATAAGGGACACAAAACCAAACAGTCATACATTCAAACATTTGCATGCTCTAACCAAATTATGTTTTTGACAGTGGTTGATGGTGAGTTGAACATCTTTATAATTCCTTATTTACAATAACATTAAATATTGCAATTTTAAAATTCTATTCACAACCTTTGCTGCTGCTTCAGCTGCTGTTGCTGTTGGAATATCAGAACAGCTAGCTGAGATCTTGATGCCAGGCCATCAGCTCTGCTGGCCAGACACCTGTGATAGCGATCTTCTGTCATGGTCGGTCTGCATACTCTCTTCTGATAGTGTTGCTTCATGGCTGGATCTACGGCTCTGAAGACATGAAGCTTACAGTTCAAGAACATATCGAACAAATCCTCATCGGATTGGATGTGGTCCGTCCCGACACCCGGATGCTTCTCGTCCCACAGCTTACGAGCCGTCTTGTAGTCTGAGTTGTAGAATGCTGCATGCTCGTAGGAACTGTCATCGAAGCGACCGACCTGCTTGCTGATATCGATTGTACCAGGGTTAGGAGAGTCTGCATAGATGATCTCTGGGTCGAACTGAGCAAATGGGATGGGGAAGAATGCCTGCCAGCCTGCGATGGTGTTCATACGAACCCGATTCAAGAAGTCATTGTTGATCTCAAGGTGGACGTTAGTGACGTAAAACAAGGTATCTGAAGCAAACTTGGTGGAGATGACATCCATGAGTGCAATCAGAGATGGCATGGTTGTCTTCACACTCAACCAGGAGATGTGAGCACCTGTGTACTTCCTCTCAAGGTATGAAACATGACCTTTGACAACGCCAAAGATATCATCAGTAGCCATTGAGCGTGCCTGGACAGGGTTGTAGATGAAGATGAGCATGAGAGCTACCTTCTCCTTGGATTCCAAACACACCTTGGTGTAGATGTCCAGGAAGGTCTTGACCTGCTCCTGTTTACTGGCCACTACAGGTATAATGATGGTCACCTGGGTGTATTCTGTGACGTACGGCATAGGAAGGATTTCCACCTTGTTCAGAGGCCTCAAGAGATGGACTCGTTTCTGAATGGTCTTCTTCTGAGCCGTCATCTTGAGTTCTAGATCCAAGGTGTACTCCATCCCCCTCGTAGGATCAAATCGCCTGTATCCATTGACCAACCGACCTAACGTGAATGCCTTCTCATACTTATCATTGAGCTGCCCCATTGCTGTTGTGACGATCTCATCAATGTCCTGCTTATGTGCTCCGGTAAGAGGCACCTTGGACTCAATATCAGTGATAGCGTAGATGTGAGTCATGGTGAAATACTCCCAACCAAAGACATCAAATCTAGACTGAGCCTTGAAGGGAGGTTGTCTACCGATTGGCCATGTGATGCTTGCCTTTCCTCCTGGTGCATACTGACTGGTCACCTGGATGTCACGCTGCAGACGAGCTATCTCAGCGTAGGACCGGTTGACGGATACCTCAGTGAAGTATTTGTGTAGCTTGTAGATGATGCGCTGATCCATCACATGGAACACAGTGAGAACTTCCTTCAGTTTCTTATCCTTTATGTCTTTTGCAGTCAAGACCTTGTCCTGAAAGTTGAGTGCCTTGAAGGTTGTTCCCTGTGTGTGGAAAGAACAAACATTTCATAATAGAATGACAATACGCATTCATGTATGTAATTTTGGTAAAAACAAGTGTACCCTTCAAATAATACACCCCCTTTGGCCCTTTCCTATTTGTAAATATTATGATACTACAACATAAGAGCTATACAACTTTTTATTCAGTGGCTTTGGGTTTTTACAATGCTTCATAGTCAAATAAAAATTACAGGATCATTTCTCCCAAAATTTCTTTTTTTAAATGAGTGATGAGACCCATAAGGCTTTCTAGATGATGTAATCACATAATGTGGATTAAGCAACAGGGTATGAAATGATGAAACGGTTGGCTCAAGACCGAGGAACTTGGAGAGAAACTTGGAGAGACAATTGATATAGAATTTTGAATGGGTCACTGAACCTGTCATAAACTGACAGATCACTAATGATGATGATGAGACTGGTATATTTTTATTTATTAATTTTTCATTTTTCATTACCAAGCCATTTTGGTTGCAACAAGGTGGCTCCTACACAGGGTCATCGCAATCAAGCTATGCGTTAGGCACCATTTCATGAACCATTATAATTACAAGTTCTCACAGATCCCCCTGAAACACACAATCTATTATCATGGTTTTCAATGGTAAACACTACAATGATGAACTTTAATGTATGACAGCTTCATGAAACACCACCCCCCCCCTGCTATGTTTCACAAATATCCTAAGTCGAACTTAACTATAAGTTGGACTTGAACATTATGGAGAGCCATTTGTAGCCTTAAGATAAAATATATTCAAAAGAAAAAAAACTCTGGTATTTTAGACTTTCATAAATTCCACATCAAGAACATGAAATCTCAATGATTTGACTCAACATTTTATGCCTTTTACAATAACTTTTACAAAATATTTTCAAAAATGCTAATGGCTTTCCATAAACTGTTAAGTCCAAGTTAGAGATAACTTCAACTTAGGATCTTTGTGAAACGACCCCAGGTCTTTCATACTGTACCTCATAGTTGTCTACACAGTGCGCTCCACTGTGTTCCTTGATGCAGCGTGCTACTTCCAGGTCAGGCAGACTACTCCAAGCTTTCTGCATACATTCCTCCCAGTACTCCCCAACCTTATTCAGAAGATTCTTAGAAACCAAGTAACCTAGGTGTGAAAGAAAGGGTGAACAGGCTTCTAATACATAGGTAGTCATAGCATCCCTGAATTAAAGTAAAGTAAAGTTAAGTGTAAATACAGCATTAACAAAAAGTAAGCAATTCTTAATTTCATGAACTGGTGGGTCACTTACAATTTACAAATGTACAGAGCTGAGGACCTTCATGTAGATCTACAGTGAAAAATACATTTTTTTTTTACAATGTATTCATTCATTTCTGTTGTTTAGTTTTAAGCACATAGGCCTACTGTACACATTATACAGGTAACTTCATTCTTTCAGCATCTGTTGATAAAGACAAACAAAACATTAAAAAACAATCTAATTTTGTTTTCTGTAGAATGAGGCAATTTATTAAGTACCTTTACTGGGCCCCATTGCACTTGCCACAAAATAAAAAAATAAAAAAAATTGGCCCATCATCAGCCATTCTAGTAAAATGCAGCTTTGAATCGATCCTGTCTAAGAATATGATAGCTTTTTTTTTGTTTTTTGTTTGTTAGAGACTCCTAATCCTACATAGGGTCTAGATCTAGATCTAGATCTAGACTCTAGTTTTGCTTTGGCAAAGGAATTGACATTTTTCATAGACTGCTTTAAAAACTTGTGGAAAGGACCTGTCAAATAAATATAAAAAAAGAAGAGGGATGGTAAGAAGTACATGTGAATGCTGGGCTGGGGTTTCCAAACATGCCAAATATTTACCAGATTCTTTGTGACAATAAGTGATTTCCATGTCTTCTTCACGAGTTGGTATACCCATGTAGATATCTCTGCCAATACTGATATGATTAACAAAGTCAATTAGAGTTTCTCCAAAGACGTAAGTGTCATCTGACATCACAAAGAACCAGTCATAATCATTTCCGAAATGATCGTAAATGTACTTCCAAATCTGGAATGTTCGCATGATCGCTTGATCTCCTTCGAAAGTGACGACAGTCATTCCTGCTGGCATGGGGTCTGGCGTTGTGCGGGTGAAGAAGACGATTTTATTCACCAAATGAGCAAGAGTTTTATTGATGCCAACCGTCATAGATTCCGAATGGATCTCACCACGGGAGACCACAACCGCAACAAACATTTTTTCTTTGATGCCCAGCTCGGTTGCTATGAAACGTGTTCGGACGACACGTCGTTTCTCGACGACTCTGTCCGTTGGATTTTCCTCCACGCGTAAAATAGGCTCAAAATCGTCTTCACTCAGCATATTCCCATGTTCATCAGTTCCATAGAATATTGTGTGAGTTTTACGGCCAGTTCTGACAGCAACTAAATTCTCCAATCCACAATTGCTTTCCAGCAGAGGGGAGCAAAGAAGACTCAGCGTGATTCCCAAACAAATCCCCATCGCAATCGGGAATATTGGCCGGGAACGCCCCACCAGAATTCTAAAACACTTTCTCATCACCATTTTGAATTATTTATTGTTCATATCAATTCATAAATCAGCTTTAAAAACTTACAAAACCAGTCAACTTTGCGTTCTTGCAATTCTGCTTCACCCAAATCTTAATTATCATTTGTTTGCGTTGCAGTTCGCTGATGCCACAATTTGATTCTGGCGCAGATACAATAGCCAAACCACCTATTCTCCGCTAGCTAACTCTCCAATACCGTTCCCCACCCCCAGTTGCTCGCTTCACGTCAGGGACCATGTACCAGCAACAATTCACATAAATACGGGTACCAGTCGAAGATTTGGGCTCAGCGAATATTATCTGCATGCGCATGCTGCCCTCTACATTTCGAAGTTGTAAAGTGGAGTTGAAAATTTTGTGTAAAATCATGGAGGTAAGTTCACTTTGTTTTTCCCCAAGTGCTTGATTTGTCTTTTGTGATGATTATTTATTATTCAATTATTAGAAATTGTGTTATTTTCAAAAATACATATTGAATAAATATGTGCGTTTTATGAGGGATGTAGCAGTCATGAAGAGGGCAATTGTTCAAACTTCTTGAAAACTTAATCACAGTCCACAAAGACGTGGATTTCAATACATCGGACTAGCAAGAATTGCATTGTCATGATTGATGTGCGCTGGGCTTTGTATCGATTTCAAAATTGTTCTTATTAGCCTATATCGTGTAGCTCATGAAGTTTGTTGCAGTAGACCCTAGATACACAAAATCAATGACAAGTCAAAAAGACTAAAAAACAGAAGGAGCATTTTGGTCATCCGGCAAGACTAGAGATGTTAAAAATAAAAACTAGCAATAACATGCACAGGGCCGGGGCAGCCAGTTGGGGCGCTGGTCCGAGAATAAGGATCGTCCACATAAATAAGGATATAGATCTATCCGCGTCAATGTGGACAAATAGTGTCCTAAAAAGTAAGTACTGTCCGCAATTGAAAATGTAGGCAATCATTATTAACGACCTGCGCGTTGGCGATGCGAAAAACGGATTCCGCAATGATGCTCCATGATGCAGTTCTCATTGACGCAGCACAGAGACTTCACGTTATAAACGATAAATCCTTGGGAAGATGGACAAGGGACAACCCGTAAAAGTGGACGGTGAACTGGGGATAGGGAACCCTATACCTGCAGAGCGCCAAAGAAAAAAAACTTCAGCAAAAATCTGATGATCCTTATTTTTTTAGGACTTGATTGTCCGCGTATGACCGCGTTTACAAGGATATTCTTGTTTATGCGGATGATCCTCATTCTCCGATCAGCCTGTACTACTGATTAGGCCTATAGGAGTTTTGACTTGAGTTTAGTTGATGAGTTGACAAGACACAAGTTCAAGTTGTCAAGTTGATATACAGTGTACATTTACATTACCATTTTCATTTAGAAATTACATCGTATTCGTAGTCATACTACACGTTGAAATTTGAAAACAAATATATTATTCATTATCTTGCCTTGTATGTATGGTCTTGTCTTGTCTTTCTGTTTTTTCCACAATCAAAGGAGATGATTATTGTATTTGTAAAATGGTAGGTAGCATTTACATGTACATGAAGATGTAAACTACTTTCCAGTTTTTCCTGTTCTGAAAATTCCTTCAATTTAAAAAAAAAAAAAAATGTAAAAAAGATGACTGGTGAAGTTGTACCCTGCTTCAGTTCAGGCTATTCCAGTCCTGAAAAATGGCAGAAATGATGACCCCTGGCCCTGTACTGTGTTCGGCAGGTGATTTGGAATTGCTTGCTATGACTCTATGAGAGCATTGTTGGTGACGTGAGCTGCTATTAATTGGGACTAGTTTGATTGTGCTTCAAAAAGCATGAGACCTAGTAGATTTATGATAGAGGGTCCAATGCTTTTAGTCACACAAATTTATGTAGAATGGCAATGGCAAGTGTGAGAGCTTTAATCCTTTTTTTTTGTTTTAATGGGACCCATAAGTTCACAACCTCCTCGGCTCCTACCCTACAACATGGATGAGTATGCATAACATAGGGATGAAGTGATTTATAGTTTAATTGTACATCTACATTAGCTGTTCTTTTAATTTCTCTTTATCTCTCTCTCTTTTCTCTCATCAGAAAATGGAAGTAGAGGAGTCTGGCCGCAAGGATGGCATTCAGCGGTATTACATCACAAAGATTGAAGAGCTTCAGGTAAAACATTATTTAATCAGTCTGTTCTCGCTTCCCTCTGTTTCATTACAAAGTAGATGCCACAAAGTTTTGACTTTGTATTTCATAGGTTCATTGTCTTTTGGTCCAATGTCAGTTTGTATATCATTTCTTTTTACATCAAGTGAATATTACAATCCTTATACTCATGTTGATGATAGGAGTAGGAGGTGAGGGTGTAAGAGAAAGAGGAGGAGGAGGAGGAGGATAAGGCCAAAAAAAACAAAAAAAAGTTGTATTACCCTTTGCGACCGACCCAAAAATCTTGAAATCTACTGTCGGCTTTTAAATTATAATTTTTTTAAACCGTTTTTTTAGAGTGAAAAAAACAACGTAATAAGCATTCAAAACTGAGAAATATCTGCCCAAAGCCCATGTTTTGGCACCTAAAGGGCAATACAACATCTTATTTTTTTAAGCCTAAGAAGAAGAAGAAGGAGGAGGAGGAGGAGGAGGGGAGGAGGAGAGGGAGGGGGAGGGGGAGGGGGAGAAGGAGAAGGAGAAGGAGAAGGAGGAGGAGAAGAAGAAGAAGAAGAAAAGGGGTATGAGGAGAAGGAATTCGTAATAATGTTCGTTTTTATTTTGTACAATCTTCATTATAGATGGTTGTCACCGACAAGACACAGAATCTGAGGAGATTGGAAGCTCAGAGAAATGAACTCAATGCAAAAGGTGAGGAATTCAATATTATGGAGAAATGGAAAAACAATATTTATTGATTTAAAAAAGAACAAACAAATTCTACATCAAATCCAGTACAGAAAATTATGGTTGCATGATATTGTTTAAAATAATAATAAATAGATAAAAAGACATTGTATGATAATAATATTTTAATTACAATGACACATGTTAGATGTATGTCTTTTGTTTATCCATGATAGCTTTATCGGTATCAATGCTGTTCTCCATGAGGGCCCTACAAGGCTGCATCCATATTATTATGACAGCTTTATAAATAATCTTGTATGAATTTATTATTTTGACAATAAACAAAAAAGAACGAATTTCAATGTATCGTAGATTTGCAATGTGATGAGTTCTTATTACTCAGAAATATATTTCTACCACCTATTCATTTGTTTTTTATGTACCTCTCATATTTACCCATTTCCCCCATCAGTTGTCATTCTTTTGATTGAATATATTTTTGTTTTACTACCACCTACTGTTATTCTAAAAGCCAGTGCATTTCATTTTTTTGCCTGGTGGTTATATTATACTTATTATTGAATATACATGCTTTACATTCAATGATTGCCCTTTGCACTCAAACGTGCAAGCACTTCTTTTGATATGAATAATACCATGTCATTTTATTGTATTTCACAGTTCGTATGCTGAGGGAAGAATTACAGCTTCTACAAGAACAAGGCTCTCATGTAGGAGAGGTGGTCAAAGCTATGGACAAGAAGAAAGTTCTAGTCAAGGTAAGATTTTAACTGAAGTTATAGCCTAGCTGTAACCCTGTAACCAATAATGGGATCAGTGGCTGATTGCTGGCAGATCATGCGAATCAAATTATAAATTTCAATCGTTGATCTTTGAAAAAGGATCGGGGGAAATTTTTTTTTAATGGCTGAAAAGTTGCAAGTTTTGGGCTATCAAATAGTAGCTGGGATTATTTTGTCATTTTGAATTGTAGACCATTTCCGTTGATATTAAATGCCTTTTCTAGACATTGAAATTAATGATATTAGTCTAAGAGAAGAGGCAAAACATGCAAGCCGTCATTTTGGATAATGTAGGCATGCATTTTCTTTTCCATTGTCAATATAATTTGACAAAGCTGTCTAATTTTTTCCAACATTGTTAATGTGGGATACATGTAGCCTAAAATGATGTCATTATAATCCAAAATGGAGGCTCCATTATTGATTTACAGGGTTTATCTGTACCGGTACATACTTTATGGATATTTCTTAGGATATTTATGCATACTATATATTGAAATGTAGTTCTTTTAATGTTTTTATTAAAAACAAAGCAACAAAATAACAATCTGTATAATCAAGTTGGGAATAAAATTGTTTGTGTTTATATCAATGTAACGTACCACAAATAATGCTGCCTTTTATGGAAAAAAATGAAATGCGTTGTATTCGGATATGACAATAATCCAAATTTCATTGTGTAGTATAACATTATTATTTAAAAATAAGATAAAACCTGAAAACAGATGAGTAAATGAGTGAAGAGATTTGGCAAGCATCTATCACATCTTTACTTTATTTCAGCCATTTGCGTTGAGGTAGATTATTAGGTAAGGTTGAACAAAAGTGTCATGTTTAGGACTTTTGAATAGTAATTCTACCGATCCCAAATATTGGCTGTTCAGAGCTAGCAGGGTTTTAACTCTGTTTTTAATTGAGTTTATACCCTTATGGTTCAATATGAATCTATAGGCTGTATCTTGGTAATGTTGAAAGTACTTGTACATTGAATTACTATTATGGGTATGGAGAAACAGAATGAACATATCTTTCTTATGTTTTTTTAATGTTTACAGGTGCATCCAGAGGGCAAGTTTGTAGTTGATATCGACAAATCAATCGACATCAATGACGTCCAACCTAACTGCAGAGTAGCCTTACGTAACGATAGCCACACACTACACAAAATTCTCCCTAATAAGGTAATACATCAAACAATATACAAAGAATACACAGCAGTGAGGGCATTAGTAAGAATAATCCACACAAGGTACCTTTGGAACAGTCTAACACGCCCGAGGCGGCAGCCGAGGGTGTTTAGACTGTTTTGAAGGTACCGAGTGTGGGTAATTTTAACTAATGCTAGAACAAAACGATGTGTATTATTTGTTTCATAAGATTATGTTTGATTTGTTTTATAAAATGATATTTGATAACATGATTTTACTAATGACCGGTCATTAGAATTGGATAATGGCTGGTCATTATCCAAATTACGCGTATGGCAAAATAAATGCCTGGTTACATGTACGCTCTCGACCAATCATTTGATTAGGATCCACGTCATTGTCTTATAA